CAACAAAATATATTGCTAACATTTTAAAAACTGGTCTGACGCCACTGTGTCAGGAATTTAAAACAATTTTGTTATATAGAAGTTTGTGTTTAAGTACATAGGATTTTTTTTTACTGTGGTATCAAACTAGCGTATTCAGAATCCATGTAATTCTACAAGTACTACTAGAGACGCCTACATTTCTGCTATTGTGACAGCCCAAGCAATATGTTAAACTTATCTAAAATTGACATAAGTATATGATATATGGTGAGTATATGAAAAACTCAAATGTTTTTTTGTGGCAGCACACATAAAACACAATTTTCAGGGAATTTACATCAAATTTACCATGTTTTCAAGCTACTTTAAATCATATACATACAACATTTTTATGCTGTGAACAAGATGATATTAAACATGGTGGAATTTACTCCTAAATAGGTTACTTGCTTACTTGCAAGTAAAGAGCTGAAATTGGGAAGAGAAATGTTTCCAGAAGAAGCGTTTCATCTCTCTTCCTGCGGTGAAAAATGTTCTCACTCTCAGAGCCCACGATGGTGGGCCTTTCCCCAGAGTTCATTAATTAGTTAATTAGTTAATTAGTCTAAACAGATGGCTATGCAACACAAATCAGAAGGCTCTCTGGGCCTGGAGCAGGAGGAAGGTAGGAGAAGGTGAGCTGAGCCGCGATCTCAAATCACAACTGTCACTGAACCTCTGAACCGGGCTGTGTGCTGCAGACATTTTCTTCTGGTTCACTTATTTTATTCCACCACAATGAGGCGTATGATAAATTAATATTACAAATCCATAAAGTATATCATTTGCTGGAAATTGACAGACGCACGTGTTGTACTATAATGAAACCATTAAGTCATGTGCAAGGCTGCTGCGGTCACAATGCATGAGGGTTTGTTCGAATGAATACTTTGCATCACTGCAGATTTAAAAAAGCATTTCTGAAGGTTTATTTTTAGACTGCTCCCATCTCCCCCCTTCTGTTTCCTTTTCCCTCACTGTCTCTCCATGATTCTCCCTCGCTCATCTGTCTCTGTTTCCTGCACTCTCTGCTTCCCCTATTTCTGACTCCCTATCACTCTTTTAAAGGCGCAGACATTGTATGAAATGAGGTTGGCATGTGTAAGCTCCTGTGAGTGTAAGTACGGGATAATACTTAAGACAAGAATGTAAAACTATTAAAATACCAAATGCCTGTGTTTCTCACTGTGACTCAAATGCACAGTGTCAGTGAGGAGTGCTATTAAAATTGCAGATGGATGGTGCATTATTTATATATATATTTTACGCATGGCACGCAACCAATTGCCTACACACACTCTATCACGTGCAAAAGAAGGACTTGGTGTGCACACAGACAAAAATGCATACATGCTTGTGCCACACAGAACATGCAAAAAGACACACACGCACACATACACACAAGGATTATCGCCTTAGTACAGTAACCCATTTAAAGCATATCTGAGAGTCAGAGTGAGAGAGCACACATTCGCCCACATACCGAAATTTTCAACAACATTAAAGGAATCGAGGACACTGCGTCATAATCACTCAGCAGGATCTATCTCCACCTCTCTCTATGTGCATCTTGCATACGTTAATGATTATGTGTGGAGGTTCTGTACAACACATGAGTGCACTCCACACATCTCTAATGTTGATCACAGCAACAATGTCAATGTAAATCAACTACCTTTACGGTCTGGAGCCAAGGTCGAAGTGAGTGTAAGGAAAGCAAACGAGGATGCCAATGAAGAGCATTTGGAATAGCTTGTAATTTTATGCAACAATATCAGTTCCAAATTGTGAACTCAGTCTTTTGGCTCGGCTTTTTAATGATCGTGATTTGTCAGGCAGCTGCGAAGAAGAACGCGCAGAAAGGTGAAACTGAGCCGGGTAAAGCAGCAGGTCCGGGCCCTCATTTCGCTAACTCTCAGTTTGTCCTTGTCCCTCTGCCTCTCCGCTGGCATTGTCAATAACACTGTGGCTCACGTTACCCTCTGCTAATACTTGCAGAAACTCTTGGACTCCATCCTAAACTACTCCCATTTCTCTGTTTATCATTATCCTGATATGTTGAAACAGGCGTGATGCAATAAACAAGATCTGATTACCCAACCTGGCAGCCGCAATGAATGACACGGGGAGCCTGTGTGCAAACACCTCCAAAAGATGACACCAAATGTAAATACTTGACTCTGCTGATATCCAGCAGCAAAAAGGGCTAGGCGTACACATGCACACAGCTCAGCCCACACTCACTGGCTCATGAGCTCCATAAAAATGAACAAACAGAATACCCCTTGATACAAAAATACAATGACAGCAACAGACGCAGTTCTGTTTTCTGTTGCTGAATGTTACACCAAAGGCGCTAAGTTGTTGTTTGTGTCTTTTGAAGTACAGAGACTGTGATCCTGGCTGTCGTCTTTACAGAAAGGCATGTTAATACAAAAATTAATGAATTACTCTAAAAAGGAAAAGCCAGGATGTAAGAAAACAGAAAATACACCTGTTTGTGTTTTAATGCAAAGTGCCTGCTGCAGGAAGACATAGAGTCGCTGGTGAAATGTGAGCAACAGTAGCCAAAATGATACCAAGATTAGCCAGAACGTTTCAAGACTTGTGGAAACACAATATGGCCGTTTAGGGATGAAAAATCAGTGATACACTTTGCTTAGGATAGTCTATAAGATTAGATTAGATATCTTATTGTTCTGCTACATGAGCTGATACTTCATCAGAAACTGTGGATATGTTTGCATGGAGTTCTTTTAAGCTATAATCTGTCAAAAAGGCACAGTTTCCACATAGTGTAGGCACTGCATTGCTAATTTCATCATCTGCAATAGATGAAATTAGGCTTTAATGCTTGAGTTGGTTAAAGTTCCTAGATTTAGCAGTACCAGTGAGGCACAAGGGGGGGGGGGACGACACACAAAAATACTGCTGCTCATGTACCTGTCAGGATGATCCAGGTTAAACCCTAAAGACACTGGCATTTGAAGTAGTAACACAGAACACTTAAGTCACGTCTCTGAGTTAGGACATGCTATTTAACTTTATTAGATTGTTTCCTGAGCCTGGTTCCTTCTGGATAGAAAACCCCTCCAGAATCCTCTTTCCTCTACATCCCCAAACATGGGAAAGCCCTCTACACCACACTACACCACAACTCAATTCAACTAATAAATGTATTAATTTGTAAAATGCAGTTTTATGAATTAGTTCCGTGGTCTAAAATTTGATTACATACACATTCAATTTGTTCTGGGGGCATAGTCGCGCATAAACAGAGCATGAAGTTGCTATTCAAGTCAAAACATCACTTTAATCTTATGAACCTTCCTAATCTTAAGAGGTGCTCTTAAAAAATGGCCGTAGATTAATAAGTACCTCCTACACAAGAGCAGATGGCTCAGAGAATCTTAAAAGCTGCAGAACTTACTCAAACATGACTTGTATGACTGAAGCTTTTTGCCCGGTGTACTTATTTGCCTGCACTTTTTAAATAAGCGCTAATGGTTTCTATTAAGCATGAAAAAAAAAAAGTTAAAGGGACAATAAGAGCTTTGTTTTTGTTTTTTAATTTGTGTTCAAAAGATGTTTTCTTTATCAATTAATTAAGAATAAAACATACTTTTTGTAATTATGTATTCTCATGTTTGGATTTTAGCCACATGTCTGTTTTACTCTTTTTATGTTTTTCATAATTTTTATATTTGTGCGTCTTTAGAAGAAAATACAAAAAAATATGGAAAAAACAGAATAAAATATAAAGACAGAGGAAGAAGTGTGCTATTTTACTTTTTATGGGACACTGTAGCTCCTTTGAGATAGTATTTATATTTATACCTGCCTCTTTTTCACACATGCTGCCATCATTTTCCCTGACATGTCTTTTATACTGTGGCATGTCAACACTGCTAAAAGAAATAAAACTCAAATGGCATCTTTACAGTGTATGACATTACTGGCATTAATAGGAATTCACACACCTTGTGATATTAACTCAGACCATGCAAGGACTTCTTTAGTGCACACAGGAGTACAGTAACAGGAGTTCTGATTTTTTCAACAGATTTACAGTACTGGGCAAAACTATTAAGCCAAAACCCATGTCGTTATGTTTTCCTAGGAAAATGGCACATATGTGCAGGGATTTATTAAACATGTGCAAACACAAAAGAAAACATGGCATATAGTGCTAAAACAGAGTTCGCACAATTCTAACAAGCTTGAAAGTCAGTATTTGTTATGACCAATTTTATTTTTCAACATACTCCATATCATCACTCCATAAGACCTGTTGCCATGGGTTTTTAGGCCTGTCACTTCTTTGGTCCTCTACTTGTCTAGTTTCCTTAATTTTTTTTTTTAACAACATACTTTACACAATGCTGAGCAATGCCAAATGTTCAGTGAATAGCTCTATGGGAATCACTTTGCTGGTGTAAAAATCTTATTTTATGCCTGTTAAACTATGTTATCTTTGGCAGTTCTCACATGTTTCAACAAAAAAATGAAAACTAAGGGTCTGCAGGTAAAGGAGACAATGAAAGGACTTCTTTAGCACACACAAGACTACAATAGAAAGAGTTCTGATTTTCATTCATAGGTCAGTGTTGAGTTGCTTAACAAAAAAAAACCTCTGAAAATGGTCAAATACAATAACTGGACTGAAAATAAGTGAAAAAGCAAAGAAAAGACTGTCACAAAGCCTCGAGAACGACTTGTTATGACTACTTTCACAGATTACAGTACATTTTGGCTCATAGGAAGCAAAATATTTTTTAAAAATGGGGTGTAACTCAAGACGTTTACACAGTAAAGTATGAAGAATTTCAGAATGTTATTTTCATGCATGTGAATGCTGTCATATTTAAATACAGTTTAACATAACACACAAGGCCTGGTCTAGCTGAAATGAGGCAGACCAAAACAAAGGTTGTAAATGTATAAACGGTTACATCAAATATCTGACACATCAAACTTACCGAGCACGCCAAGCCGATAGTTCATAGTGACCACGATGACATTTCCATAGGCAGCAAGGACACTACCATCAAACATGTTCCCTGAGCCCTCCATGTAGGAGCCTCCATGGATGAAGAGCATCACAGGCTTCTTACGGCGATCCCGAATATCTGCATAGCACAGATCAATGCAGGTGTTTGTTAGTTTAGAGTTGATCCACTAACATATGTTAAAGAGTTGAAATTCAGCTCCATTAATCCCTGGCTATGGTTTGAAATTTTCTCCTGAAATAGCATCTCTAAAATCAGTCACTAAATGGAAGAATCAAATTGTCTATATATAAGAAACAAATCTAACCTAAAAACAAGTAACAAGGATAATTAAGTTCAATTACATTTTATTTATCGATGACTATTTAATTTAGTCACCTTAAGGCTCTTTATATTGGAAAGTAAAGATCTTACAATAATGGAGCGTAAACCGCAGCAATCATAAAACCACTTGGTGCAGTTGGTGACAGTGGGAAGGAAAAACTCCCTTTTAACAGGAAGAGACCTTCAGCAGAACCAAGCTGAGGGAGGGGCAGCCATCTGCCATGACTGGTTGGGGGTAAGGGGAGGAAGAGGTGTCCTTGTCCTTGGTATTAGTTCAGAGTGAACAAAGAATACTTCTTTTACCTCTTCCTTGTAACAGTAAAGTACAAATACACTGATAACAAAGGATTTATCTGTTGTGGTTGTTCTAGTACTAGGTATTTAAGTTAAAAAAAAAACATCCACATGCAAACTGTGGAAGAAGGTGAAAATACAAAGCACAAAACACTTGTGTCTGGGTTCATCTTCTATGTTTTATTCTGTGATGTTTGTTTCCCCTGTCCTGAGCCCTGATGGTACCTTCCCAAACTGTTATACCCCTCCATGTTTGGAGCAAATGGTGCAGGCAGTTCTGATGCCCTCACTGTTATTGGTGTCTTTGTGTCCATCAGTGTGTTGCTATGGTTCACTCTGTCAGCCTCTGTGCCTCGCCACCACCCCCTTCCTCGTCTGTGGTACGGCCTGAGTGTCTGAGTGTGGATGAGGCTGAGGGAGCTGCCAGCGCAGCCCAGTTAGGCTGAGCGTCTGCACTGTGCAGGGCCTGTAGATAATTTGTATGAAAGCCAGACCAAGTGGAAACATAAATAACAGCCACAGCATCTGTTTACCCTGATGAGCTTCAGCACTCAGAGGTGGAGGAGACGGGGAGATAAGAGGAGAGAAAGAGAGATAAAGGAGGGAGGGGGGGTGGACTAGAGAAAGTGATGTAGAGGAAAAGCATCCAGAGGAAGAATTAATAAAAAAGGAAGAGAGGGGGGGGGGGGGGGGGGGGGGCAGGAAAGAGACAGAGGAAGGAGATGAAAATAGGGCAGCATGAGAGAACTGACGGGGGTAGAGAAATGCATGAGAGCTTCACACCAAGAAGAATAAATAAATAAATAAGATTTGATAGCATAGATGGAAAAAAAAACTATGAAACGTTACAAAGCAAGTCATACACAGTGAGGTGCGTTAATGAACATTCACACAGGATTCACACAGACACACACAAGCACACATACACACACAAACTCTTGCATAGGCAGCTGCGATGTTGAGTCGCTATGGAAACTGCTTCTCGCTAATAGAACTGCACCAGCCATTCCATCGCACCGACTCACTGAATGCCTGTTGCCGTGGTAACAAATTCCACTCACGTATTTGCACACCCGCCTGCATCACCACCTGAATCTCAGGTTACACATGCACTTGGGTGCGTCACTCACAGCCGTGCGTGCAGACTCACACACACACATACATGCAGACAAGTGGATGTGGTAAAGCGGCACGTATGGCTTCAAACACGCAGATATGTTTTATAGATAGCACGCACGACACAGGCAGGCTGGCTTTAAATTAAAAAAATTTAAAAAAAACTTTGAGTTGCACACTCTGATGTGCTGCTCCTTTCCCCCTCTCTTCTCCGGTGTATTCAGAACCTTGGCTGATTTCCCAGAAGATACGTAAACAAGTTCAATTATCTTGGCGTCACCAGGACAGTAGAAAGGAGTGACGTTTCAGCCGGCGTCACGAGCAGCGCTCACAGCCACACTCCGTATCTCAAGCAGAGAATACATGCAATGGGATTTATCTACATTTTTTAAGTCCCATTTAGCAGTGTTACGTTTTTACAGCTTTCATATATGACTTTCAGACCCACAGTGGGATCAACCACCCGGGTTCTGAAAAATTAAACCAACCCAGAAATGCCAAAAACTGCAGTTTTTCACACGGCCACTTGAGGCGAGCTCTAAAAGTGATTTAGTCCCCTTAGACTGTCACAGTAAAATGAACAGCACAAAGAATTCGATTTATAGCCTTGTAGGAAAAATATATTTTGCCTGAATGGAGGCGAATTTATAACTCAAAGGTGGGTGTACATTTTCATAACTCACTGTAGTTATACTAGTAAGGCTTTAGGTTAGAGTCCATGGATGCTTTGATTGATAGGTGTGCTAACATAGGGACCTGTAGTTGACTGTTGTGTGTCTTAAGCCTCACCTCTGTCAATAAGTCACTAAACTGTATCTTTTGTTAATATACTTTGATATTGGTCCCTTTTTTTGCTATTTTTATGGCAAATATGCAACGGGATAAAACCCATCTAAGAAATCTGTGCTTTAATTTTGATGATTGAAATTCTACTATTTTAGTTGTCTCTTACATTATCGCTGATTCTGATTAGCAGACATGTGCCTGTGCATCTTGTGCACACACGGTACCTTCTGTCAATGGTGTCAGTCAATGTAATCGTGGCACCAGCTAATGTAGCCTAATGTAGCCTCGAGCAGAGGTGAAAATTGCAGAGGTCCGGTAACAATGCAGTTTTTAGCCTCAACAGACACTAAGTTGTGTCTGTGTGTTAAACTGCTATTCGACATCTATCATTAATCCCTATTAAAGTTTTACTTTTCTCCCTGTACATAAAGCATGTTGACCTATCTCTGTAGATATATCAACTAAGATAAGATAAGATAAGATAACATCAAATTACAGTTTTGGGGGGTTGTGTAAGGACAGATTCTTTTCTTTCTACTTGTGTCACAGATTACATCTTTAATATTACATCTTTTTTTTTAATAGAAAAAGGCTTAGGGATAGTTATGGCGCTTGGTAATTCAAAATACTGCAGTGGTACTTAAACCACAAAATAGATATATGTGGGCAGGTTGCAACCATAATAAATGAATATTGTTAGCATGATAACTGGAGCTACAAAATTCATAACAATACACACTAATGCGCAAGTATGTATCAGAGGAATTAAAAGGCAAAGTACTATAGCTGGTACTGCTAATCAAATGCACTTGATTAATTGCGTGAGCACAGTGTGAGGACTTTTATAAAAGGAGAAACATCCCAGTAAATTCACACCAAGGTCAGACTGCGCAATACTCCCCAAAACAGCAACAACAACAAAAAACCCCAAAAAACAAGAGCTACATCTCAGACTCTATAGGCCTCAGTTAACACGTTAAATGTTAACGTTTATGAGAGTATAATTAGAAATAGACTCAAATATATCTTGTTGGGTTGCCAAGAGAAAACCTCCACTCTAAAAGGAACTGTAAAAAGAAGATGACAGTGTGGCTTAGATTTGTGAAGCTGCATCTAAACAAACTGCACGACTTCTGGAACAACTTTCCTTTAGATAGATGAGACTAAAATAGCGATATTTGACCATAATGCACCACATAACAGCTCATACCAACTGTCAAGCATGGTGGTGGACGGATAATGATTTGGGCTTGTTCTGCAGCCTCAGGACCTGGGCCACCTTGCAGACATTGAGTTGACCATGAACTCCTCTGCATACTAAAGTATTCTAGTCAAATTTGAGGCCACCTGTTTGAGAGCTTGAACACAATTGTGTCAAGCAACAGGACAATGATTCCAAGCACAGCAGCAAATCTACATAAGAAGGGCTGAAAAAAGAAAAGAATCAATGGCTAAGACCTCAACCCAGCTGAAATGCTGTGACAACCTTAAGGTCTCAATAAAGTGAAGCAACTATGTATAGAAGAGAGCTCCCAAATTCCTCCACAGTGATGTGACAAACTGATAAAGTCATACAGAAAATGATTAGGTTGAGTTATTGCTGCCAAAAGTCCTGTGAAAACCTTCTTTTTCACATGACTGTATAACCATTTTTGCCAATCTTATCTTGTTTTTCTAATAACAAGAAAGGCGAGAAAATATTCACTATCCTAATAAAGCTAAAATTTAAAAAATAAAGATAACAATGAAAAAAAAAATCATTAATTTTGAATAAAAGATCATACGTGCATGCACAGTCACAATTAAAAGTGTGCATTTGCATAATTTGGGGGGGGGCTACAGGCATACAAATGCCTAGCTATGCATTCTCTGGAGATTTTGTCACACAATATTTCAGTTTTAAAAAGCTGGAATATTTGAATGTGTTTAAGAGAGGGACGTGTCGGAACAATTGAAAGAAGCTCAACACAAATGCAAAAATGATGAGACGATGGAGGGTGATCCACTCAGTCCACATTTGAGCCTATAAAGCCAATAAGGAGCTGGCTGTCTTCCCTTCCTCCCCCCAATAACACTGGCACATTATTCGCTTCTCTCATTTCCACCTAACCTGATACTGTCCTACTCAATATCCACCTTTGTCCTGCACAGACATTCTCACATTAATGTCTTACTGTTTCCAACAGATACTGCCCACTTTCCACTTTTCCATTCCTCCGGTCCTCTCTCATTCATTCCCTTATGGAAATCTTCATTGATTTGGGTGTAAAAGTTTTCAGCCTGCCTCAGCACTTGAACAATTTTCGTACCCGGACCCACAGCCAAGACTCTACACTTTCACAGAAAAAACTTTCCAGCAACAAAACGCTAATACTACTGTTTTACAACAATGTTTAAGAAACTCTGTCCAATCTATACCTAAACAATTAAGCGAGGAATTCAGCCATGCCCTAGCCCTCCTGATCCTGTCAGGATCCATCAGGTGTCGGCATAAATGTCAAGCTCTACCAGTCTCCTACTCATCCACCCTCTCACTCTCTCCTTCTCCACATCTCTCTCACTTTCAAAGCTCTATAAATGTCATTTCATAATGCACTTGTCTTCATTATGACCGTTTTTTCCCCCTCCTCTCCCCCACCGTTGCCCTCGCCAGTGCTCTCGCGGTGTTCAGCTTTTTTCTTTTCTTTCATCTCTATTCAATCATCCTGCTCCTCTCCTTTACAATCCTGCATGGATCCTTCCTTCTGTTTTCACCGTTAAGAAACCACACAATTGGATTAGCTACATCTGTCTCTTTTTAAACCACAGCAATTAGAAATGCAAGGAAGGGAGAATTCAATACTGAAATAGCACAGAGCCTGAAATACAAAAAACACACAAACACACACTGAGGCGCAAACTGGAGCACACGCGCTCGTGTGTTGAGTTGCACATGCGCTGTGCTCAAGTAGACACACGTGCACGCACACACATGTGCACAAATGGAAATGTGGAGCACTGTATGTGTGTATAATACTATGCAATATACAGTAAGCCTGGGCACGTGTACAAAAACACACGCACTAATTGTCTGCACAGATTTTGGTGCACCAGTAAAGTGTAATGCGAGCATCTCCCCTTGTCTGCAGTGATCTTGAAAATATACTACAGTGGCAGAAATATGCAGAAGTCCTTCACTTTTTCCCACTTTAAAAATGAAGGATTGGGTAGAGCCCAATAACATTATGAAGGACGATAATTTAGCCGAGCAATTCACGAGAACTTTAGTCCAAGAATAAAAGCGCAGGTGAAGAAGGACTGAATATCGATTTTCAGTGATGCGTCACGCTGGATAGCCAGAACATCAGAGTGTGGTTAATCAACCACACAGCAACCAAGCAAGGAAAGTTAATTAGCTCCCCGTGCAAGCACACAAAACGCAGCATTTGTGACAAGGGCGGAATAAAAAACAAATACTTTGTATGTGGCTTTTATACGACCAAAATGCGTGCCTGTGAGAAGGAGTGACAGATTTGTATGCTAATAAAGGCAGTTAACACAGGACAATGTAATGTGCACATAGGGTGATTACGCTCAGATGGTTATTAACACAGATGAAAACACCACAACCCCCCATGGAGTTTGAAAAATAGAGCATGAGGGGAAAAAAACATGCAATTAAAATACCTTCATCCCTGGGTCTGTTCATTGAAGACTCATCGTGTTTTTTTGTGAGCGGACCTGAGGTTTAGAAAAAAGACAAAAGACAAAATTCAAAAAGGTTGCACTGGTACAAAAAACACAAAACAGAAAAAAAAAAAATCAAGAAAAGGATTAAAAGAGAGGGAAAAAAATATGCTGTTTCTCGGTTTCATATCAGTGGCTGTGTACATGGATTACACACTGTTTCCTTTAAAAAGATAACCCCCAAACTCATCTGTTTCATCTGCTTAGGATCTAGTCACGGACTGCCTCGTAAATGACCCCAGAGGCCACTTCTCCTCAACCCTTCTCCCAATCAGTCTTGACACACTGCTGCTTTGTAAAGAAAAATCAATAAACAGAATCAAGCCATCACTCTTTTGGGTCAGAAAAAGCAAAGGAATGCCAAGATGCTGCGTGTCCTGCTCTCAGGACTCAAAACATAAGGTACATCCCTACACTCCTGTATAAATGTGACTGAATATATATTAGAAACACCAGCCTAAACCTAAAACATGACTTAAAAGTCTTTCCTACCTAATTTGCCAAGAGGAAATTGTTGGTTTTTTTTGACGGTTATGCCACCTGCATGGGTTTGTGACAGGATTGGCCTCATCAAGGTCAAAGAGGAGCTCTGCATTAAGCTTTAATGGTGACACCAGTTAAATGCACTATAGGGGAGAGCCAATAACGAGCATTTATCACCGTGACCAGCCAACGCCCTGGCGTGTCAACCTCTGTAAGTCTTAACTGATAAGGATCCCATTAATTTGTTTTTTTTCTTGGCTTCTGTCAGTGGGGCTTTTTCATCAGCAAACACTTAATGCTGCATTTTGTGTCGTCTACAGCTGCCGCCTGCCCGTTTGGAAGAAAGTCACAAAATACACTAAAACACCTGCAGTCCCACACACATTTAAATCACACGCCACGCAAGGAATGTTAACAGTTTCCGTATCAACTTGTGCTGTCGTCCTTGTACACACCCAGCAGCAAATTTCCCTCTTTCCAATGAAATATTGTTGCAGTCTTTTAAATTTGCTCTATACTGGATTGCCAAGAGGGTTATCACTCTGCTTCTGTGCTGCTGACATGCCTGTTTCTACCCTTTTGCTGAAAACCTTCTTGTAAAGTTATGGCATATATACCTTTCACAGTACTTCTCATCTATTGACAAAGGAAACACCCAGCACTCCACCAATATAATGCAGCATTTTCACATCTCTATCTGTATGAATATGGTTTCCTGGTATAAAATGTTTATCTTCCATTTAAATGGGACAGGATCAATGCTGAATGGATTTGCTGCATCCTATGAACACCATCATCAGGCGCCTGATCCAGAGAGCACTTAGTGCCATAGCGGGAGATGGTATAGTCGTAGGTCCTGGGCTACAGAGCAGGCAGGTAAGCAGACCAGTAATGGATAGAAGGGCACATTACTACCCTGTCTTGCCGGCACTTCCTCACTACTTATCACCACTCTAAAACCACACCTTCCCGCTTAATGGATGAACTACTTGGATTTCAGTTCAAAGTCCTCATGCCTAATAAGACTTAAACTTTATGTGAAGATGAGCAGCACATCCACACTTTGTCATGGAGCAGATATCATCCAAAGATATCCACAGTAAATTGGTTAAAAAACAGAAAAACACTGAAGAATCTTTTCTTCTTTAGTATTATTTTCACTATGAAATAATCAGTTTAAAAGCCTAGCACAGCTAGCCAAAGCCCAGTGTAAAGGCTACAGCCATGCTAGCAGTTCTGTAACAGCCCCCAAAGACTAACATTTCAGACATCTCGGGATGTCTGAAATGTCATTGAGAGTTCATTGAGAGCCACACTGTGATGGTTTGGTGTAAGATATCAAGTTTGATGCCTGGAGACTGTATGACTGATAATACCTCCTGAATCCCGGGGTATGATGCGCATCTATGAATCCTTTGCTACTTGCAAAGGACAGCTGGATATCAGCTGGATGTTGGACTACTGTTGTGGAGCCAAAACAGAAAATCATCCAAAGTTGACCAGCACAATTCAATTGTGGTGTGTGTGGTCATCTTTCAACTGCACCAGCCCAAAATCACCTAAGTTGGCTAAATTGGTTTAAGCTACATGTCAACATGCTAGCACTGACAAGCCTAACCACAAAGCACAGTGCAGATGAGGTTGATGGGAATGCCACTGGTTTTGCTGGTGTTTATTCATACACCAAATTACTTGAATAAAAAAACGAGTCACCAAAATGACTCAAGTCTGAACTTAACTTCACAACAATCCATCAAAGAGATGTTGAAACATTTATTATACACTACAAATTCCACAGTGGCTCTATGAGAAACATCACTAAATTATCTAAGTCACTGGATAAATCATTTTAGTAATGGTAGTGGTTATATTGTGGCTATTTTCCATCACCGCTAAATGCTACAGTGGCTGCGCTTGTGTGTTTAATATACTGAATTTGCACTAAAATAAATGCTCATGGCAGTATCTAGGTCTTGCCTGACTTGACTAGGGTTTGAAGAAATACTACAATGGATTACACAAGACAAAAAGTAGGACCTAGCCAAAGGGAAAAACATACGCTTTTTGGGTCAAAAACATCCATCCCATCTGCTTCCCATCAGCAGAGAAGCCTGCCGGTAGGCTGAGTGCCACATGATGTAATGGGCCACTGGTCAGTGAAATGCTACGGCCTATGCAGGAACATTTAGCTTGGGTTGTCCCAGTACTGTTTGACCTAATGCAGCTCCATCTCTCAGTCGACAGCGTTTCTGTTCGGTTCAGTGAGCTAGTGGCCAGTACGCAAGCTGTCTCCCGTCCCTCTCCATTTCCTCAGTGCAGTAATCGGGATGAAGCTGCAGTATGTCATGTCTGTGGTGGCCTGTCTGCTTGACAAGGTGTCAGACACAGCTTCAGATCAACACCCCCACTTCCTGCAGCTTCTAGCACATGCAGTCCTATCCTTTTGCTCTCTATCTCTTCTACTGTGGCCCCAGCCCCCAGCTCCATTCTTGCCTCCGCTGTCCTGCCTCCTGAAATATGGTTTTTAATAAAGAGCACGGTAAATGCCTGCTCTAGCGGTAATAAAAATGAAGAATCTCAGGCTTTTGGCTGGGGAGTGTCTTGGGGAAATAGGAAATGCGATGAGACAGTGCTCTTGCCTGACAGCCTGACCAAATGCTAAGAGTTAGGGTGGAACACTAGAGAAGGTGGTAGAGAGCAAAAGAGAGATAAAGTGAGAGTACAAATCTCACTGTTCAATTGGGGAAAACATTTGTGCTATTTACATGGTACTACAAAGTTGAAGAAGTAGCAGGCTACATAGTGGCCTGTTGGGGAAGGGCACCGAGCTCATTTGCATTCAGAACAGTGACCTCTTCTACCGCCATCTGCATAAAGATGGAGGAGTGAGGAGAGCAGAGAGGAGAAGGGGTAGGGGATGGTTTTAGGGAGGAGAGAGAGCAGGACGGGTAAACGGATGCAGAAAGAAAGAAAGCTTCTTCATGTCCAACCAATCACATGACGAACATGGTCAGAAAGAGTATTTCTGGGTATGAAATAAAAATCCCAGTCAGAAGGTGCATGACTAGAGGATACTACATAACACTGAACTCTAAAAGCTCTTTATGAATTTGTGCTGCCAATTCATTTTGGCCCACCTACATCCGTTGTGCGTGGGAATGCAACTCCTCGTTGCCAAACACAGCACAATATAGCCCCAGCAGCCAACCTTTATACATGCTTGACCATCACTTTAGAAAACAAACCTACTCCTGTAGATAAAAAGCTCAGTCTGGCTGAAACATCACTAAGAGTCTACAGGAACAGATGATCAGTGAGGCCAATGTGCTTCCACCAGTAAATCTTAAAACTTAGCTTTAAAATGCCTCTGGGCTCTTATTTTGGCATTTGCTTAGGGAAAAAACGCAATCAAATTTAACTTTAATTTCTGTGGTTACCAGGATATAATACTGCATGTATATAATCACTAGTCACATCTGATAATTCTGACATTTCTTTGTTAATTTTGACCACAAATAACCTTTTGTTAGGCTTTTTTTAAACAATGGAATGCAATTATTTTAGTCTTTTCTGAAAAGACTTTCGGTCCTTTGAGCGCAATGTCCCTCTGTTGTATTTACAAGTAGTATAAAAATGACAGCTGATGTCAATATAAACCAAATTATCACGGGAACCAAAAATCAGGGCCAAATAATAGCACAAAAATCTAAAGTGCAGTTCATCTTCATCCAAATCTAATGGCAATGAATCCTATTGTTCCAGAAATCCTATTCTAAACTATAAATGTAAATCCAGTGGAGGCCCCATGGGATCACTAATGAAATGGACATGCACTGTCTTGGAAACATGACAACAATTAATTTTACCGAGATCGACCAATTATAAATGTCTAAAGGAAAACGTTTCGTGACATCAGGATGGATGCTTTGTTTGTGGTTGATCTTTTTGTTTTAAAGTTTTTGAGTGAGTGATCCAAAAAATTTGATCTCAGATTATAATAAAAACTTTAAATGTCATAGTGAAACACTTAAAAAAAAATCTGCTCCATCCGATAAAACCACCAGTTTAACATCATATAAGCAATTTGAGAGATTGTGACAGCGGTAATATGTGAAAAATGTATCTGATTCCTGGGGCATATCACTCTCCTCCCATCTCTATTTCTCTCTCACACACACACAAGGCAAAACATATCCTTGGGGAAGGCATTGGCCTTGTGTAAGTGGTGACCCGTGACAATAAGTGACAGATTCTGACAAGCAGACAGGGCTACATGTAAAATCTGTCTCACTCATTTGCACACCTTTCCCCATGGGAATAACACAGAAAAGTCTAAATAATCCTTTCTGTAAATACATGTATATAGCTTAGATATTCCACACCTATGACCACTAATTCTGTCTTCATATGCACACTTTCCATCATGTTAAGAGGAATTTAAATCACTTGATAATCTCTGTCATCGCTTTCTACTACGCTAACGTAGTTTTCCACTTGAAATTAACATTACCATCTTCTCTGGGAGGGGGGGGCATGGGAGCACTCATCAATGATATATAAGTTTTCATTCCAGCTTCATTGTTGAAACAAGACTGTTTTACACCACTCTAGACTAATCCTCGGGCTAGGCTTCATATATTTGCAACAGCTGTAATGCATAAACATGTGTTTTGCTTGAATACTCTCAGGTAAGTCTCAGGTGAACCCATTAATCATAGGCTTTTTAACATTTTATCATTAGCCTTGCTCACTATCATCAGCAGCATATGTTTTGCCTCCGAAGTCAGACTTTGATCCTGTGTTCTCTTACCTGCCCATCTGCTTTCACAAACGCTCTCCGCTGGATCATTAATGCAAGAACTACACCCAGGTAGCCCATGTGGAGTAAACAAGGTTATGCTTGGCAATGTATTGTATTTGTTATATATTTTAATAACCTAATAAAAAAAATCACCATATTGGCAGCGCAACTTTGAGGAGACAGTTCCTATTACCGCATGAGACAGTATGCAGAGCTCAATATTATACAGGCATATTTTGACAATTATAAGTCAATCATATTGTCTTTATATGTAAACTCTTAACTGGAGCAACCTATAAAGTGATAGACAGCAAATGGGACATGAGCTAAAAGCTCAGTCATGCTAGAGTAAAAATATGGAACTAGCAAAACTCAATGATTGTGTTAAATTTTTTCGCATTCGGCAATAAGATCCAGACAGTCACAGTGACCCAAATGTTGAGTATGAAACACCCTCAACCTCTTGGTGACCACTTTCGAGCTAAACTATTTCCAAACAGTGGTTAGACTCAGACTGTCTGCAGTCGCTCTCAGGCAGGTTGTTAAAGGTTTCCAAATAATGCCATCTAATATATAAATGCAGACAGGTTGAGAACACGTTGCAATCATTCTGAGTTACTCTGCGCCGATGAGCGCAACTCATTTGTGTCTCTTTGCAACAGCGTACTCGGCTTGATCTGTGGGGTTGTAAACCTATAAAATGCAAGGTCATTTTGCAGTTAAATCGCTATCCTGCAGTAATTATGTCACTATTCGTGTATTTCTGAATTTTTAATTCAAATTCATTAGGTTCTGGCATGTTACAAACTAAGAGCAGACTGACTCTGTCTTACTGATGTTTTATCACCATCTTAACACAGGTTGAGATGTGGCGAACCTGGTCCTTGTCTTTGAAATAACCATTTGAAAGCTAACGAGACTGCAAGTTCACTGCACATGGTTTCAACCACTGTGGAAATGGTTGCAACAGTGTCATTTGATGTGATGTGATGTGATGTGATGTCACGTTATGTTATGTTGCAACCACACTCGATGTTTTTTTTAAGACATTAAGTAGGAATTAACCCGGCTAACAGTATTGACAGTACTGTCATAGTCATAATTGCTGGTGAAGAGTTGGTAGAAGAAGAGAGTTACCTTCCTCTGAAAACACTTGAATGGTATAAAGTCATAGTGTGAAGGACAGTTGTGTGGCTACAGGGGTTCCTTTGGTTTGATTCTCTTAGCAACATTGCTCTACACTTACAAGTTTGTCAAAACTAAATGGGGAAAAAAACAAAAAAAACGTGAAGTTTTCATAAATTTTTAGACTGTAGAGTTTGTATGGTTTCCCTGTGCATAATGGGTTTCCTCCCACACTCCAAACACATGCATTTAGTTTAAGTGGTGAAGATATGAATTGGTCTGTTTGCGTTAGCCATGTGATGGACTGGTGAACACTCCAGGGTGATACCCTCCTCTCACCCCATGACAGCTGTGACCCTATGTTAAGAAAATGGCTGGAAACAAATGAGCACCAGTCAAGCTAAATGATATCATAACACAGTGCTGTTAAAAATAGCATAATAAGCAGCTAGAATGTTTTTGCTGTCATTTTTAAAAGTCTAATGATATCCATCAATCCATGTTAAAATGAGTTGCATATGAGCAATAAAAGTAAAACATATAACTTTGTTGCAGCATTAACATTTCTAAACAATTAGGCCCAATCAATAGTAATTTAAACAGACCTTATTTGGAAATCTCCTGATTGTCTTTTGGCTTATCTTCCTCTGAATACGATCCAGATAAATTTATCAAACTGACACTATTTCATGGAGTACTTACACTGAGTATAAAATGTGAAAATGACAAGAAAAGTACAATCTGTTCTTTCTCTGTGATACAGTTGTGACACAAACCGGTGCAAATTATTAACGAGAATTAGCCGACAGAGACAGTCAATGCAAGAATTTCCACTTGCATGTAATACAAGCTACGCCTCACATTACGGACTCACCATCTTCAGTGGGGACATAAATGTTGAGGTAAAGGCAGTCCTCACTCTGGTTCTGAACATAGGTGGCTGCAGCATCCAGGTTGTCTGTGAACCACACTGGTAACATGATCTCAGGAAGCACCCCGTGCACATTCTGAGGACACACAGGCGCAAAATGAGTGGCATTGCGAATCTCTTGCCAGGAACCTGGGGCTTCAGGAGGCTGGAAGCGCCTCTCGCCAATAGGTGTGGTGGCATATGGCACACCTAAATACTGTTCCACTGGGCCCAAGATTTCATTGTTGAGCTCTTTCCTGATACCACGGACCTTTCCGTAACTCGTGGATACTATGGGGTGTTTCAGGTCAACTCGTTGACACGAGGAAATCGTCAGGTGCAGCACTAGTCCCAAGAGCCACACCAGACAGTGATTAGCGACCTGCTGAGTAGAATAGTGATGCTTGCCGCCATAGCCCTGGTGGCTGGCAGCGCTGAATGGAAAAAACAACATGTCCAAAATAAAAGCTCTTGTACTCATATCAAAGGGTCTTCAGCTGGGAGCAGAGAGGGATCACAAACTCAGTGGGATATGGGGGATGACAAAGGCAAAAAGAGGATTGGTGGAAGGGGGCAGGTTAACGGTGTTCCTAGAGCGCCATGGTGAGGTTGAGGGCCAGACAGCATTCTCCAGTAGACTCTGTGGTCTCATATGTCTTCCTCTTTGGAGCTCCTGAAGGGTCCAGAGCTGCAGCTGGGATACCAATTAAACCTGGAAGACACAGACAGGTTGCAGGTTTGAGTAAAGACATGTGAATAAAAGCTCTGTCAGGTCAGGCTGTTTTATAAAGCTGCAAGAGACACAGCAGGACAGAAGGATGCACTCTTGTGCTAACTATCTCACTGAACTTAAACCAGATATTATACAGTGTGTCATTTGTATTTAAGTCAGAGCTATTTAGCCAGTCTATGGTATCACAGTAACCAAGTATGTTTGCTATAATAACGACTGTATTTTCTACACATTAGCATGACTTAGCTCAACACACTGCTAGCAGCTAGCATGGCTATACAATTCATGTTCTGTATTAGAATAAGTGTTTATAAAATGTTGTCATGCTAGCTCAACATTTAATAATTCTTGTCAGGATGAAAATCATTAAGCACCGAACGAAACTGTCATGTCAGTCACCTATTTCAACTTAATAAACATTTGGCTAACATCTATTTAAACCCTTTCCTTATATTTTAAGGCTGCATTTTTACCACTCTGCTAATAAGATTGGAGAATACTGTGTGTAGAGTGCACCTCATGTTGTGTCATCTGAATAGACTTTGAAAAGTCTCAAAATTATCTTGGCAGTTGCTACATGTTGTGCGATGGCTCCCTAATGGATTTAGGCTTTATTTAGAATTCTCTCAGGGTTTTCATCATGTTAAAAGGAAGTTTTCTCCTCACATTTTCCAAGTGCTTGCTCAGTGGGAACTGCGAGGTTTTTGTCTGTCATATTGTAAAGTCTTTTGTTAACAGTACAAAGTGCAATGACATTCACCGTTGCGAATTTGTGTTACATAAATTAGCGGCACCTTTTCCAATTCTTCATTCTGTATTTGGTGGCGACTCGTTGACTCGTTTGGTGACCGTTAAGTTACGTGACCGTTAACATACGTTAGACAGGACATGTGAATCAAACGCAAATTGAGAAAGTAACATTATTTACACAAGAGTTACACCCCTTTGCTGCTCTCACATGCTTTCAGAAATACTAGAAATATTTTAAACTTGAACTCTAAAATGCTATGAAACGCCGAACCTTGGGTTTTTGAAAACAGAAGTTTATAATGAGCATGTGAAGCCAGGGTTATTTCTGAGAATATTCAACGTGGCTTCAAAAACATTTACATTTCATACCAAAGGGAACATTTTCAATCACTATTGTGTAATGCTGCCGCACTTTATGTTTTCATCTTCCCAATAATCACAGGACTTTGAAACCTAAAACAAATAATTGTATGATAAGCTAATAAATAACAAAAAAGTAAACACAGGCTCACGCATGATTTTAAAGCATGAACAAACCCCACTGGCCCTCCACCCTTTTCAGCCATGTGTCAGAGTTAGCCTTTTTTTCACAAGTTCAGTTCCTTCTTGCTTCCACATCATTACAGATGAATGGGCAGTGCTTATCTCACTGTGGCTTTGGGAGACAGAGCCGTTTAGGTGTGATAAAGGCTTTATGTGGTGCTAACTGTTGGTTGAACGCCACCTCATCCCTCCGCCCACAACCCGACAGTATCCACACTCTACTGCCAGTCAGCAGGCACAGGGATTGATAGTTAAATATAGCACGGAGACAGGGTGCAATATCATAGGATGTTTAAAGTTAGTGATGTACATAATGACAAAATAAGGAGAAGCTGTGTGGAAAAAATATTCACTTGATTAAAGCCTTATTACGGCATTTCATGGAGGAGGTACGATTTGCAAGGACACCCTGAATCCTCATCAGAAAAGTTGGTGTGCAGACATAGTCAAGCTGAAAATCCAACTTAGAAAAAGATTAATGTGAATTATACACAGTACATGACTCTAAATTGTGCAGGAAAGACTCATTGTGATGGGGTAAGACTGCGTGGTTGGAGAAGCCACTAAAGTTGTGGAATAACTCTGAGAAATGGATGAGACGTGTTCATTCCCCAAATTGCTCATCTCATTTTGGTATTAGCATTTTTGACTAAGCAAAGCACACTTAAAGGAACAGTGTATCATTTTATTTAGTCTTTTTTTTTCTTATTTAGAGGATAAGGATTGACACCGCACTTCTACCTGTCTCTTAGATACATGCCTGCCACTTCTAAAGCTCGCTGAACCCCCTTCATAATGGATAAAAAACTTTTTAAATATTCACAAACATCTGTCCTTTCTTTTTAGATGGAGACATTACTATTGGCTAATAACTGCAGTGGTCATAACTGCTTTTCTTATTTTGCTAGGAGCTAGCTCAGTGGTTAGTTAGCAAGTTCTTACAAACAATTTACATGCAATTTACAGGCGAAGGCAGAAATATGCCAGAGACTGAACAATGACAAAGAGATCTTAGGTGCAGAGCCCTTTTTGTGAATCATTTTACTTGCCAACCAGTTGTGGAATACTTATTTTTCCCTAGCAACCAGAAGTTGCCAGGGGGTTGCCAACTGGTCTCTAGTCCAGTGTGGCTGATGTCTTAGATGAGCAATGCTGGCAGTAAGTAGTAAAGTCAATGCTGAAGCAGGGGTGAGGAACAGCCTTCTTTCTAATTCTAAAAGGCCACAGTGTATATTTTAATATATGTAGTCTTATTTCCAACTAACAGTGACTCGGTTGAGGCAAGCTGTCAGACTGCGGTGAAACTACAAATGGTTTAGAAGCTTTTTTGCACATGTAGTTCTAGTCACTAAGACCTCAAAACAGACTTTGATGTACAAACCCAGTTGAGTTTTCCATTTAATTTGCTTTAAAACTGCAGGGAGATGGATTTTCCAGATGCAAAAAGATGGCTTCAAACAAACAAATCAAGCTTCAGAAAAACACAGAAACAAAAAGGAAATCCTGACAACTGGTCTCAAACTACAAATGATCAGTAATATTTGAAGTTAGTGAGACCAAGAGAATAAAACAAAATGCAGACAGAAACTGAAGTACTACACATACACTGGCTCACACACAAATAAATATGTATGCACACTGTAAAGAACGCCTTTGTAAAGGTTGCAACTTTAAATAGGGTCTGATTACACAACAGATGCTGTCACTGCTCATTGCTTACATTTTCTATATTTGTCTACACATCTTGATTTTTGAACAGCCATCTGTGTTTGCATTCTGTCGGTAAATGTAACTTAACATATAGCACAAGCCCAAGGTCAGAGCACCTCTTAGTTTGCCAAGCAAGGATGCACACAGAGGTATGTCCTTTCTGGGGAGGATTGCATAGGTGGGTCGTATGTTAGCAGCCCGCCAGATTGTTCTTTATATACTGTCTTGCCTCTCTGCACGTGTTAGCAATGATATGCACACATATGCACACAGATGTGTAAAATCCAATGAGGCATCAGATGTTGCATGCAAGAAGAGACTACTGTAAGTACATGTCTCACATGTGGCTTGAAAATGGTAGTACCCTAACATCTAACATCTGTTCGTGTCAACCATCCGTGAGCTGGAACGGCATCGAGCGCGCATCTCCACACATAAAATGAGATAAACTGACACACAAATCACCAGGCTGATGTAAGCTGTTTTCTCTTCTGTTTTATATAATAGGTAGTCCTGTCAGCTGAAGCTATTTGAGAAGGTAATGCCTCCCTGCCAGTGGGACACTTTTATGGGTATGTTTTAACGAAATGGTCCGAGTGGTTTGTGAAAACTTTCGCTGAATGGTGGTGTTTGAGGAAAATGCTTGCCTTGGGATTTTTTATTGCTTTGTTTCCACTTTGACTGTTAAAACTACATACACTACTTCAGCTGTCAAGCTGCTCTGCTCTGCTAGTCAACATCTGTGGATGACAAGCAGCTTAGCAAGCCAGAAACAGAGTGCTGAGTTTTTGACTAAACTTTCTTATCTCTTATCTACTGTCTCTGTGCTTAGAAAATGAACCTCTGGTGGCCGTGTGTTGTCTTCACTTGCATCCAGCAATATGTAGATACAGCAATCTGTTGTCTTTTTTTTTTTAATGCACCATTATTTGATGAGAAAGAGAAGTCCTTTTTCGCAGAAGTGAGGCTTTTGTTTATTCCTTTCAACAGCATCTCTGCGAGTTAGCAGCATGCTACATATACCAGCTCTTTGCTTAGAGATTTTGGGAAACTGCTTTGGGAACTTAAGTGGTAATCTAGGCTTGAATAATCTACATTTGTAGTATTTAATTACTTACTTGGTTCTACCGATATTAGATAGCTTACACAAAGCTGTTTTATTAATGCATACATATTATTAAAATTTGGGATATAATTGTTGTATTGATGGATAGCAACTTGAAATGCTCCAAATATGCCACTACAGTATGTAATAATGTAAAGATAAGCTCTGGCAGACTTGGCTCTGTGCTTGGCTTTAAAGGATTAAAGGAAGTAGAACTCGACTAAACCCAAGCTACAATGCTAAAGCCTGTGCACTTAAAGATCCTGCACATGTAACCCAAGAAAACTTTCACCGAGCTGGGAAAAAGATACACACACAACTGTTTAAGTAATTACAAAGTATTTCTTATATAAAATATATCTTCATATCTTGGGAACTGAGTTCCAACTGACATCATTGGCATGATGTAAGGTAAGAAAGCAGGTGACTCATGCATGCTGTCTGCCTCCCCATGTTTCTTGTTCTTTTCTGATAAAACCAGATGATTAGATTGCTTAATGTTCTCTTTAACCTTAAATTGACCGGGGAAGAATAAGTTGTCTTGTTGATGAATTGAGAGGCTAGAAGATTAGACTTGTCAGACTGCATATGTAGGTTCAGCCAAAGAGCCTTATCCCCTTTTCACATGCGGTCCTGAAGCTACCCCAAATCCACTCCAGTTCCTCTGTGTACAGCCTGCCAGGGTGCACAGGGTAATTCAGGGTAAATAGACTATGAGGGAAAAAACAGTTGCAACTTCCTGGAAGTTGCAGCTCTCGCTCTTCCAGGAAATTCCAGCTCTCTCTTTTCTAATGGTGGCTTTTTAAAAGCCACCAGTAGAAAGATTCATTTGATTTGACAATTCATTACTAAAGATGTTCGTCCATTTTTT